TTTCTTGGATAATTTGCTCAGTATACAGATTGAATAGGTATGGAAAGATACTACAACCCTGACACACACTTTTCCCAATTCCAAACCATGCAGTGATCCCCTGCTCCTTTCACACAACAGCCTCCTGATCCAGGTATAGGTTCTACATGAGCACAATTAAATGTTCTTGGATTCCCATTCTTCTCAATATCAGCCACAACTTGTCATGATCCACACAGTCAAAAGCCTTTGCACAGTCAATAAAACACAAATTACTTATGTGCAAGTTTAAATTGAAGCTGGAAAAAAAGAAAACTAGTCCAAAGGAAACAAAACACAACCTTAAATTTATCCCAGTTGAATTTAAGAACCATCTCAAGAATAAGTTGAGTTACTGAACATCAATGATTGAGAACCAAAGGAAATGTGGGAGGACATCAAAGATATAATCCAGGAGGAGAGCTGAAAGTTATTACAAAGAAGGAGGAGAAGGGAAAATCCAAAATGGATGTCAGAAGAGACTGTAGAAAGTGGCATTTTCTGTAGACTATGAAAATTGATGAAAAGATCATTGAGAAGCCAAAACTAAAGGAAAAGAAGCTGAACAGAAGATTTTAAAGGGCAACTCGAGAGGGTTAGCCAGCTATGTTGCCCAGTTGTTTGGTCAAATTCTAGTCCATACATTGTTATGAAGCACAATGTACATGAATGGAACATAATTTAATTAAAAAATCGTATTAAAAATAATGATATGTGTAAAGAGCTGAAAACTGTGAATAAAGAGGGAAGAACTTACTCAGTATTTCTCAACCTGAAAGAATTGAAAAAAAAAATCAAGACTTGAGTTGCAGTAATGAAAAATGCTGAGCACAATCTTGAATGATTCAGGAATCATCAATAGAAAATAGCAGAAATACACATAATTACTAAAACAAGAAGAATTAATTGACACCGAAAAATATCAAGAAGTGCATATCAACAAGAGCCAACTGTAATGAAGGATGAAGTTCAAACCTCTCTTAAGACGTTAGCAAAAAATAAGCCCCAAGAATCAATGGCATGCCAATTGACTTGTTCCAATTAACAGATGCAGTCCTGGATGGGTTGTCATTGGTTTATGCCAGGAAGTTTGGAGGACAGCCACATAGCTCACTGACCGAAAGAGATTCATGTTTGTCCTCATTCTAAAGAAAGGTGATGCAACACAATGTGGAAATTATTGAACAATATCATTAATAACTCATGCAAGCAAACTATTGTTGAAGATCATTCAAAATGGTGACATCACAGAACTACCAGAAATTCAAGCTGGGTTTAGAAGAGACAGTGACTCCAAGGATATCATTACTGATATCTGTTGGATCTTGGCTGAAAACAGAATGTCAGAAGAGTGTTTATTTGTGTTTTATTGACTATGCAAAGACATTTGACTGTGTGGATCATAACAAACTATAACTAGCATTGAGAAGAATGGGAATCTCAGAGCACTTAATTATTCTCCTATGACATCTATACTTAGACCAAGAAACTCTTGTCTAAGTGGAGCAAGGGAACACTATATGGTTTAAAACCAGGAATGATGTGCATCAGGGTTTTTTTTAAATCTTTTCTGCATACCTATTCAATTTTTATACTGAGTAAATCACAAATCTGGACTCTATTAAGAATGTGTCATCAGGTGAGCTCTGGTGGCCTAGTGTTAAGAAGCTGCAACTGCAATCTCAGAGATGCACGGTTTGAATCCACCAGATGCTCTGCTGGAGAAGGAGGAACAGTCTCCTCCTGTACCAGTCAGATCTGATTTGACTGTATACACAAAAAAGAATGAAATAAAATATTTTTTTAAAAAGAATGTCATCAGAACTAGAGGAAGGCTTATCAACAATCTGCATTATGCTGATGCTTGCTGAAAGCGAGAATACATAGAAGATCAAGGGCTACTGCCTTAGGTATAAATTACATCTCAACATCAAGAAAGTTTCTAGCTCAGTTAAATTTGTTAAAAGGGAACACCTGGAGGTGCCTAAGGTTTGTTCCTGGGACTTGTGGTACCAGTATCAGCTGATTGTTGGCTCTCTTAAACTGAAGAGTCTCAGAGGAAATACTTTAATTCAGCCCATCATTGAAAGAAAAATAAATAGATAAATGAAACAGAAAGGAGAAGAGGAAATAAGAAAATCTGAGGTCACAGAGTTTGGTGGGCTGAGGGAAGGAGTGAAGGAATTTATAAAGATCCATTGGGGACCTGAAAAGTGGGGTAATGATGGCATGAATCAATGGTGATTAATTTCATACAACAAAATGTATGGGAATGATCATATGAAACATAATGTAAGCAGAGGAATGAGTGAAACAAATGTATATAAAAACACAATGTATAAGAAGAAGAGTATTGAATGTACCATGGACTGCCAAGAAAATAAACAGATTCATCCTAGAGAGGGTTAAACCAGGCTACTCCTTGGAGGCAAGGATTCTGGGGCTTTGTCTGACATACTTTGGACATGTTGTAAGGAGAGACAGGTCTTTAGAGAGGGACATCATGCTGGGTAGAGTAGAGGGACAGCGCAGGAGGGGAAGACCCTCTATGAGGTGGATTGATTCAATGACTGGGGTAATCGGGATGGGTGTGTCAGAGGCAATGCAATTGGCACAGGATAGATAGAGCAAGGTTTAGGGGCTGTTGTACATAGGGTCGCTATGAGTCGCAAACGACTCGACGGCACATAACAACAACAACAACATAAAAATTTTGTATGAAAATCAATATAAAATAAAAATAAAGATAAAAGAATGTAATCTGAAAAAATCTAGTAGTAATTCAGTTAGAGTTGTTTTTTTTTTAAGTTTTCTTTCTATCAATCGAAAATGTCACCTTTGAAACAAAGTGAGCAAGTTCTGTTATTATGTCATCAGAGAAACTGATGCACAATTATAGATTACTGGGAGTAGACCCACTGTAAAAGGATTTAAACTTCATAAGGAGTTTATTATCTAAACTGTCCTAAACTAAAAGGACATACTTCTTGCATAAAATATTATTTTAACAATATTAGATTTTTCTTATATTTTGCCTGTTGCAATCCCTCCTTTTTACTTGCGGGTGTCCAAATCTTTGAAAACATGGTAATTTCCTGCCTGAATTCTAGGCTCAGTAAGAAGGACTCTGATGCCTTTTTCTAGTGGAGACTAAGCTGTGTTGCCATTCCAAAAGCATGCAATTCAAATCTGCCAGCTTGCTCTGTGGAAGAGGAATGGGCAATCTCCTCCCCTGTGATAATTGCCTCTGAAATTCCATTGAAGGGTCACCCTGAGTGGACCAGTTCAGATTAGACAATATGCAACAGCACAATATCTAGTAGGGATGTTGAAGGAAACTTCCTGAAATAGCTACTTGGATAGTTTAAAAGATCAAAGAGAAGGGAAAAAAAATAACATGGTATCTGATCTCATCTAGCCCCAAATTTAGGGAAGCTGCCATGCACTTCTTCCTAATACTCACAAGCACTAAATTCTAAATTTTAAAGTTGAACCTATCCTGTTTCAAGGGAGCTCTGTTGACTTAATGGTAAGGAGTTGTGCTGCTTCCTCAAAGGTGGTGATGGTGGTGGTGGTGGTGGTTGTTGAGTACCGTCCAGTCAGAACCAACCCATAGCTGACCCTCCAGCAGGTTTTCAGCGGTTGTTAATCACACAGGAGGAGATTGCCTATCACTTTCCTGAAACTCAGAGGTACATGGTTCTATTCTGATAGATGTTTTATGGGGGAAAGATGGGCAATCAAGTAACATGGGATTTACTGGCTCTGAAAACTTGCTGGAGGGTCAGCTATAAATCCATTAGAACTCAGTACACAGCAACAACAACAAGCCCATCTTAAACAAATAAAGTCAAATGACCAAAGACAAAGCTGTAAAAATAATTCAGCACATAGTGCTGGGACAAATGGATCTATATTCACATGTTTAAAAAAAAACATAATAACAACAAACTCACAAAAAATAAAATAACAAATTGACACAAAACTTTCACACCTTTCACAAAACTTAATTAAAAATTAATTAATTACAGCTGTAAAACTTCTAAAGGATCATAGAAGAAAATCAAGTTGACCTTGAGTTTTGCAATGAGTTTTTAGACATAATACCAGAGTTGTTGAGGTGTGCCATTAAGTCGTAACTGACTCTTACCTGACCCTCTGAAAGCTCCAGCAGGTTTTTCAGAGGCAGTTAATAGCATGGGAGGAGACTGTCCTCTTCTCCTGAAGTGCATCTAGTGGATTCGAACTGCGTCCCTTCAGGACTGTAGAACAGACTCTTTCCACTAGGCCACCAATACCAAAGCATATGACCTATAAAAAATGTAAGCTAGATCTCATAAAAATTAAAAATATCTGTTCTGAAAAATAAGTATTGATTTTGTTAATAGACTGCCTATGCCCAGCCACTTAACTCTAGTTAAGATCCCTACAGTAGACATTTATTTGATTTTCACTTTAAAAAGAATTATTTGCAAATTATGACTTTGCTTTCAATTTTTAGAATTCTATTTGATTCTCTTGCCTAGTTGCATAGGTCAGTAATTCTAGAATATTGCCAAAAAATAGTGATGGTAATGGTGTTTTTTCCCTCTTGTATTTTCTGGGAATATTGCAAGTATTTAACAAATAGCAAACATTTTATTAGCTTTCCACAAAGACGCCATAAATTGTTTTGGTGTTTGGCAATTCCCCTGGGTTTTCTTCACTAGCCTTTCTTGCCCAATACCTCTAGCTTAAAAATTTCTTCCGCTTGTGTGAAGCTAAAAAAGCAATATTCTTCAACCATTGTTTAAAAAGGAAAAATATAACACAAACCATTGGAGTGCAGTTGGAGAAAAGTGCTGGCTAAATCCCACAGCAAAACTAAAGCAGAGAGATAAAGTTCCTTTCAGAAAGTCATTTTTTTAGAGGGAAGAACAGAAGTGCAGGGAGGAGTCAGGGCCACCCCCGCCTCCAGTCCCGTGTCAGTGCCACCCGCAGAGATGAAATGTGAGCTGGGTGGCCGAGGACGCCAGAGCGTGGTGGGGAGAGACAAAGAGACCTCAGCCCGTAGCACAGCGCAGCCGACCCCTGGTCTGGGAACCCGTGCTAGATTGGCCGGAGTCCCTACAAAGGCTCCCCAAGCAATGGCCAAACCTATGGTTTACTCTCCTCTAGGGAGTGATAATCTCTTCATCTGACCGCTCTTTATCCCCTGCATCCTCTTGGGGTTCCGGACTCTGTTTCCTATCTCTCCTTTGCCTCCAGTGCGTCCTGTCCGCGCGCAACTCCGGCCACCAGTTTGGATGGACGCACCGAGGCTGCCCGGGCGTCCTGGCATCTTTCTTTGGAAGTTGATCCTGATTTTTGTCTATGCAGGTCAGTGAACTAAAGGGACCAGAAAAAGAAAATGGGCTGTGTATCACCACTAGGGCAAGACCATCTAGGGATCTTTTTGGAGGGCAAAGATCCCACTAGCCGTTATAGTACAGAAACGAATACACTTAAACTTTGGTCTAGACCTCTGCGAGGGTGGGTTTGTTATTTTATTTTTTGGTTGTTCTTTTGTTTTGTTTTGGATCTCCCCCCCCCCCCTTGGCCTTTTTCCCCTCTGCTTTTCTTTTCCTTTTTTTTTTTCTTGGCAGAGCAACTTGGAAACTCCTTTCCACCTTAAGAGGCTTTTACCTTCTGGCTAGAGTAAAATTTATCCAGTTGTATCTGCTACTCAAGATCTTGGAGTGAGGGTTGGGAAGAAATCAATTTTTAATACGCATCTGAAGTTCAAACGAGTTACTGAAGTTCTTTAAAAAAGTCTGCTAGCTTCCTTTTCTATACAGGCTAGTTGCTGAATCTGTCCCTCAGTTTCCAAACGTTCTGGCTTTTCCCTCTCAGAAGCAAACAGTGGGTACACTTTTAATTTCATTCTTTAGAAGCTGGTTCACAAATGTGCAACACTGAATTATATAGTATGGTTGAATTTAAAAATAAGGCGCTTTAGAGAGATGAGTTTACTCAGAGTCTAATGTGTTCTCAATGATTTGATTAAGCACTTGATTATAATTTAAGGACAAGTCATTTCCCTCCTAATCATTCTTTGTGAGAGTTGCTAATAACTGGTGAAGCAAAGGGATTTTCTAGTTGAGTGATTGATACGGAGCCCCAAACGGCCTTTCACTGGTTACTCATGTATGAAGTTAATTATACGTGTGGGTTTTGCATGTGTTTCATAGTCACCAAACAATGTAAACAGTAGCAATGATCTTTGTAAAACACTTAACATGCCTCTTTGAGACTTGACAAAATCCACAGACATACCCATGACCTTGCAGATAAATTTGTTCATAATATTTTACTTTTTGATACAATGATAGGCCAATTAAAACGGCAAACTTAAGCATTGTGTTCTGTGCAACAAAATAATTGGATTTCAGATTCAACCGTGCCAGAAATAAGTCAGGATAACTTGTTGGGAAATTTTCAATAGTTTGAGTAAAATGGAAACTTATAAGTTCTCATTTTAAAGATGTTGTGTGTGTGTGAGGTAAATATTCTATATAGACAGAAATGAATATAATTAAGAAAATTTCCTTTTATTAGTTAGAGAGAATCCACTTTACAGTCTCTGTTTACAATTATTTCTTCCATGTAAGTGCTATAAAGTTCGCCAAACCTGAGCAACTAAGAGAATCATTTGCATTAATAATAGTTTTTTATATTTAAAACATACTTTTATTACTTCATTTGAACTGATAGTGATTCTACCTTCTCTGCTTCTGAAAAGAAAATAAAAACTAAGAAAACAGAATACTGTAAATAAACTGTCATTCTGTCTTACAGAATCACTCCTCTTTTACAGAATCACAGCCACATTTTCTTCTTCTTTCTGTCTGTCTAATTCACTGTAATGCACTGAAAAACTCCTGATTTGCACTCCCTTCTTTCCTCATTCCTTCTCAATGTTAGATACATGTCTAATCCCACCACTCAGCTTCCCAGGGGTCAGGAAAGCAACCTTGTGTTTAGGAAGTTTTATTCTATTCATTCCTTCATTCTATTTGTATTGCTCCCTCAAACAAACAAACAAACAAACAAACAAACAAACAAAAAACAAAACAAAACAAAAGCTGTGGCTGAATAGATTCTGTCTCAAGATAGCCCCATTTGTTTCATAGTAGAAGTGTTCGCCTTCCCAAAGATCAAAAGCTGTAATCTCTGGGAAGGAGATTGCCAGGGCTTTCTTCTGAGGTGCATATGAGTGCATTGAAATTTCCCATCTTCTCATTATCAGCCTAGCACTTACTTGTTTCCACCACTCACAGTCTCTCATCCTTCCCTAAAACCTTAAAACCAAACCTACTCTTGTCAAATTTATTCTAATGCCTAACAACCTTCCCTTGAGTTTCTAAAGCTATAAATATTTCCTCTTTTGGAGATGCTGGTGGATTTGGACAACCATTGGTTAATAACCCAACACAGTTTATGTACTACTACACCACCAGGTTTCCTTCGTCCCTCCCTAGAAAGTTATGAAATAGTCACAAGCCAATATTAATTTGTTGTCTTTTATAAATGGGTGGCTTTGTGGGTAGGGAGGTGTCCTTCTAACACAAAGGAGATTGGCTCAAATCCATCAACTTCTGTAAGAGAGAAAGATGGACAATCTCCTCCAGTGTGATTTACAACCTCTGAAAATCTACGGAAGAGTCATCTGTAAATTGGTTCCAAATGCATGGCAATGAATAAATTGAGGTGTTTGGGTTTTGCTTTTTTTTTAACCAATATATGCTTTGAAGTAAGTTCCTGAGCTTTTTATGTCTAAAGCTTTCTTATGATTGCCATTTACATTCAAATAATTTTTAATAAGGCATGCTGAGGGATAAATAGAACAGAAGTAACCCTCTGAGGTAAGGTATGCGCATAAACCACTCTAATGCCATGTTATATCACAGAAGAGGTGTAATCACATGGGTGCTCAAAGGCAGCTCTCTGAGGATAGTCTGTTTTGTTTGGTTTCATATTTTCAGAACCTAGCAGAATGACTGAAACAGGAACTCAATAAATAGTTCGGTTGAACTGAATTAGAGACGGTTTAAGGAAGTTGATCTTGGAACGATTGGAAAGGCTTGGACATAGACGTGTATGGTATGTAGGTAGTATGATGTAGTTGGTGCAAAGGCAAATATGGTGAATGTATGCAACTCAGGTTGTTTGGGTCTAAAGGATGTAGATGGAAACGGGGGTTAGGGGTGAGACGACTGTAGAAATAAAATAGTCCAGATAGGCTTTTAAATGCCTTGCTGGCATTTAAATGGGACAAAGTCGGTAAGTAGCCAAAATTATTTCCCCCAGGCAAATGAGTGAAATCCAGGTTGAAAGTATAGTTTCTACACCTTATACATCATGTTTTACTGTAGAATCTCTTTTGGAAAGAGACCCAGTTAAGTGTTTATATTATTGTCCAACTGCTATTGCACAAAGACAGGATTCCATCAAGGTTTTACCTTCCGGCCTTCAGCCAGAGACTCTGCCCCTCCTTTTCCTTCCTCTCATATCCTTAACTATGGCTTACAAGAGCCACTTCTGAGTGGAAAATAGGACTTAGAGCCAGATGTTGCTTTCCCTGGACTACATGTTTTGTAAAGAGTTGGCATGGGGATGTTAAGGAACCAGCTTCCAGCTCATGCTGGAAATTTAAGTTGTTAAAGTTTGAATTGGATGATTTCTCAGGAATAAGAATTTGAAGACTGGAAGTCATACTGTTTACCTTCTGGGGACAATTGTAACATTCCAACCTTTCAAAAGTGAGAAAATGCCCTTATAATACCCACACTCTGATTATATTAAGATTATCTCAAATGCAGTAGAGAAAACCACTCTTTTATCCAAAAACAAAACCAAAAAATTTAAATGTGGTAGAAACTTCGGTTACAAAATGTTGCAATTGTGAATATATTGGCCGTGCTATTAAATCTGCCCTTTTAAGTGTTTTAATTCTGGGAAGTAGACAAGAACACAGGAAAACATCATAAAAATTGTGAACAGTTTGTGACATGCTCTAGATGTTCGCTACAGGTATGATCTAGCTTCTTGGCTACCAGATTTTGGGGCTTGGTTTCCTGGAACGTTGACATAAAAATATTTTGATAACACCATGTCCTTACAGTAGCACTAATTGGAGTCCAGTGTTAGTAATTGAATCTTGAATGTCCATGGAGAATAAGATCTCATTGACCATCATTCAAAAGGCTCTTACCAATTTACTTACACCTTTGGTTGTCCTTCTGGGACAGAAGAAGTGGAGACATCAATTCTGAATGGTTGTTAAGCGCAAGGAGCAAAAATGTATTTGCTAAGCATCTTGATGGTGGTCACATTGGTCATGTAAGGGAATTTTTTGGGGTGGTGTTTGATGTGTGTTACTGCTCTTTTCCCCCCAAAAGCGGGTGTCCTTGAGCCATGGACCAAGGGTGGAGCTCTGCTAGAGGTTGTGACTTTAAAATCCCTTGGTGAGGGGATGGGTCTGCAAGGCCAGTCAGGGGCCTGAAGCCTCCACTCTGTGAGTTTGGCTACTAGCTAACATCTCGTGGTGGTTGCATTGGTTACTCTTTAAGTGACACAACACTCTTTCGTCTTTTTTGCTGAACTGAACAACTTGATGTTGCTGTGATGCTACACACTGCTCCATGGTCTTGTCAAATACCCTGATGTTTACCCATTATGTACAATGTTTGGATGTGCTTCCATATTGACTTATGCTGGGAAGTAGGAGTGGCATACTCTTCCTAAACTAGATGCCCCTGCAAACTCTACAAGCTTTCTAAACTCTATAAATGTACAGAAAAGATGTTATAGAACAGAGTCCAGGTCTTTTGTGCAACGTTTACTCTGAGTTGTATTTGACTTGATGACACTTAACCACTGCTAAATGAGACTATTGCTGTTATATCTGAACACTCTTCCACTTTGTATATCACTCTTTATCAATGTGCTGTATGAAGTAACCTGGGTTTGCTGTGATGGTGAAATTTGTGCTGCTGGGGTATCAAATAGCAGAATGGTTTCCCAATGTGGACAGTGTTTGGTGGAGCTCCTAGTTGTAAAACAGGTTTGGAAGCAGGAATGTCATCCACTTCCTAAACCACATGCCTCTGGAAACTCTATGAACTTGGAGATATGACTATAGTTATGGGAAGGCTTTGAGTCTTTTGTTCATAGAATTGCTATAAGTCATGGTCGACTCGATGGCATTCAACAATAAGCCCTTAAAAAACAGCTGACCAGTATAAACATTTGAATAAATAGGAATATCTCAGAATGACAGGCAATCCCTTCCTATGTGATTTATAGTCTCAGAAATCCAATAGTGTTAGTGATGAGTT